CCACACCTGAATACCATCGATATCTTTGTTGACGGACAACATCTCACGGAGGCGGTGGTATGTTAACTGCCATTTAAATCTGCACGCTCAAAATTTAATGCGAAGAGCAGTCTGATGGTCTCATAGTATCAACACCAACTGGCTCAACGGCATACTCCTTATCCGCCGGAGGTCCTATTGTACATCCCTCCCTAAGCGCCCTAGTATTAACCCCCATTTGTCCACGAAGTCTCTCGTTTCGGCCACTGGTCTTCCCATCATCATCAATTGTCACATTACGAGTACGCACTCCATCACTCATTCCTTTCACGTATCGCACTAATCTAATTCAATGCACTATTGCATCATCAATCAAATTGTCTTAGATAGGAGACAGAAGCAGAGCACCAGCAGGAATTTCCATGGACGGGCGCTCTTCACACGTGCTGAAGCCAGGTGAATCCGTAGTTGTCCAAGCATCGCCATTTCCTGTGCCATGCATCAACAGGTCCTCAATCATATCCTCGACAGATGTCGAGAACATGCGACATAGTGAGGGCGCGGGTCCAGGAAAGGAAGATGACTGGGTTCGCGATATAAACAATCTTCTCCAGTACAACGCAACATTTAGGAGCAAAGCGCTGCTTCGACATTCGCGGACGTGATACGATTAAGGCCAAAACACAAAATTTATCGGCTACAGCCACCTGCCTGCCCGGTCAATACGAGGATTCATTATATCCCAAGCCTGTGCTGTGCGTCCCAGCACCTCACGCTGAGTCGAAATTTTAACGAAATTGCTGTACTTGATTGCAAGAGCAGTGACGTGCATGGAAGTGGTGTAGTCGTACACGGTGTCTACTGAGGAAGACAGAAGAAATGTAACTTGTAATAGCGTACAAACTATTGGATGTCTCAATCTATTGGAAATAATAATAGAGGATATGTGCAAGATATGTGTGCAATTATTAGGAGGAATTCTGAGAGGAAAGTAGTCGAAAGGTCGTCATACATAAAAAGTCGTGAAGGAATAGTAAATGAGAGAAAATTGTTCATTTTCCAACGCCGATCCAAGGGAATGACCTTCCCGAGCTAGATTTCGTGCTACGAGTAGACCCTCTTGATGGAGTCCTCTCGATTTCCTTCCCGGACTTCGATTTCGAGAGAGAACACGAATTCGGGACATCAAGGTACTGAGGGGGAGGAACCCTCATATCCAGGTCGGGACGAATGAGGATGTTAACAACAGATCCCTGAGGCAGCTTGGAAGTGATTGTTGACCAAGCCCCCTCTGAGATGCGTATTGAGCGTTTTCCAGAGGAATTCTCCTCAAGGGTAAAAGCAAGTCTATCAGGAGGGATGTGCACCAGTTCGTCAAATTCCTTTCGAGCAACATCAATTGCGTCCTAAACACAAACCAATTGGAAATTTTACGGGAACTACGAAAATATTACGAACCTGGTAGCTTTCTGCCGGTTTCACAAACACACATGATTGCTCATACTGGAAAATAATCAAATCGCCAGGCAGAGACACAGACGTCGGTTTACAGTTAAGGGGCGCCCTAACGACGAATCTTGTAGAAGAAGATGAGTAGTTTGAAGGCATGTTGTATGTAGCTGGGGATTATCGATTTGTCTAGTATTGCGGCATGAACCAACCCCGAAGCGCGACTTTATAAGAATCGAGCATGCGGACCACCGCCCCTCAGTCCATTGTTACGCAAACCAACGCACTGTTTCCTCGTGCCCCTTTCGAAAATTGGCAGTTTGGAGAACAAATGGATGATGCGGTGTTGTATACGGTCTAAATGGGGTTTGATGTCAATATGCAGGTGTGGTGGCGATACTCTATTTCAACCTGTTCGAATCATTGAGAGACTGCTCCGCTGCACATCAGTATACCGAGATGACTCGTAAATTTTCCTATGTACCAGACAGGCCATGCATTGCACTTTCAACCACTTAGGTTGCCACGCTCTGGAGAACAGGCATTTAATTGTTACATCAATCACTGCAACTCATCAAACGCCCGAGTTTCGTCAAATTCAAATTGATTGGGCGTACATCGCCGTGACTTCAATGGGTTAGTTACAATATAGTTATAGTGAGACTAGTCCTGGTATAGATAGTACATATCATACATTACCAGAATAGAAAGTCCAAGACATGATAAGGGTCAGATCGACATCGACTCTCCGACAAGGACAAGGTAGCACACGAATACGCGCGTAATAGGAATTGACGTACATGGGGGCAAGTGGCAATGCTATGCTTCTCCATCGCTTAACATAGCGAACAGGCTTTGAGTTTTTGTGTTTGCTGTTCGAGGCCCATTGGAAGTAGCCGCCTGTGGCTTAGCTGACTTGGCCTTTTTGCTTTTCTTGGATCGCTCTTCTTGGAATGCGTCAGAGAGTCCAGTTGTCGTGGCTTCCCAAACTTCTTCCGAAATGGATATCTGTGTAGGCGCTGCATTCATCAGCAAAGCATGGAATGCTTTGCCAGAGAGCTGGTGGAGATTGCCAGGCACTCGGCCAACTAGGAGTAAAGCTTGAGAAAGCTGTTCAATGCTCTCAAGGGCCATTAATATCTCGGCCATGAGTTGCACATTCCTGTCCTCTAATGGAGGTGGCTCGGAGTCGGGATAGGCTCCTTCAGCAACATCCTTAGATGCCCAGCTGAAGCTCGAAAGGATGCAACGGGCCTCCCTTTGGGTCCATCTTTCCTTTTCTCTCTCCCTGCTACCAGTTTCTTGTAAACGGTCGTGGAGGGTATGGACAACCCAACGAACCGCAAGTACTGACATGATGCTCTCAGGAGGCAGTTGACGGACTGACGGGACATCCGAATCCAGTATCCGAAGTAACACTGTCAAGCGCTCGTCCTCCGATCTCAAAACCAAAGGCGGTGCACTTTCTTCGGCGTACTCAGAAAGGGAGATTGATGGCAGCAACTCAGAAAGGGACTTGACCTTTGCTATCTCCTGGGCTATTCTGGAGCCGCGGCGCAGGTATTCAGTAATAGCAGGGGGAGTTGTGGATAGCCGTCGGTGGGAAATAATAGAAGGTGGTGGCTCTGTGGCTCGATCGTCTGAATCTGAAGATACGTCAGAGTGGAGGCGATGTAGCTCCCCCTTTAAAGGGGCGAGAAGATCAGTTCGAGTTGCATCGTCCTCACCATCAGACTCAACGACATCAATGAGTTCGTTGTCATCACTTTCTTCTTCAGCTTCCTCATTCTCTCCTGTGCTGCCAACACTTTCCACCTCTGAGGCTGGTAGCCCAACGGTGTCCTGTAAAATGGCATGAATCCATACACGTATCGGCCGGCCGATGCTCCTTCCGACGGTCTCGAGATCGGGATTTTCCAGGAAGAGGCGGGCCCAAGAAGAGCTTGTACTAAGTACATCCATAATCTTTGGCGACAGCAAGCCATTCCGGTAGGCGTCCAGATACTTTTCTCTGGCTTCTAGTAAACTGGGATCGGCCTGGTCTGAAATATCTGCTTGACGCATGACATTATAAGATATTATTGGTAAGATGGTGCAAGCCTCAGGTTCATGCAAAGCGCATACACTTGTGGGCCATAGACCTTCCCGTCCAGTGAGCTTTCCGGCATACTTCGGAATAGCATATTGCAGGGTGGCATTCACAATCTTGTCGATGATCGCTTCAACCTCTCCAGAGCCCAAGGTCCCAATCAGCCTCGTAAGAAGGGCATTGACGGTCCTGTCGATGAGATCCATCACACTGCCTAGTTGTTGCTTGGCTTTGCGTTGCGATACAACATCATGCATCGTACGCGCGACTTTGTCTATTCGTTGGCTGGAAGTAAGGCTACGTTCAAAGAACATTGCCTGAATCTTTCGAGAATTTGATTCTGATTCCTTTGAATAGTCATTACCAACTAATGCGCCGAATAACGGAAGAAGAGTAATTGGTATTTCCAGGCGGTTGGCCAAGTCCTCTGGACTGTAAGAGACGAGGGACAGTGAGAGCTGCTCTGAGTTTTCTGGTGGAAGAAGGCCAACTGTACTTTGAAGGTGCTGTGGGATTTTCTTCCTGGATTTGGGTTTCCTCACCACCTGAAAGTCGCCGTCATCTTCGTCAACAGGAGTGATGACTTCCGGCGGAGGTACCTGCCATACCATTTCTTCCATGGGGACGTACCCTCGATAACCGTCTGCATTGAAAATAACAAAATCTGAGTCATTTCCAACAACATAGCCTCCGATTCTTCCTGCCAGTTCTACAGCATATGGGTCGCCCTCTTCATCTGCATAGTGAACTTCTAGTCCGCTTGTGGTTGACCGAAGAGTCTCGAGGGCATGAATACAAGCAGAATATGCAAGCGGAGGCAGTATTCTGTTTTCATGCAGAAACCGTCCAGTAGACCTAGAGATCGTCGATGTCCGAAAAAATAGTTGTGCAGGTAGGACATGAGATTGACCGAGCCGCGAAATGACAGTCGGAAATTTCAGAGCAGGGCAGGCACCTGCATCTCAAGATCAGAGATACTCAAATATAGCATACACTAGACAAACCGTCAAATACGAAATATACTTGTAGTCCGACCTTGATCCACGATTCTACAACTTCTTTTACCAAGCGGACAAATTCCACATACTCTCCGCCATATACCCAAGGAAGGCCAGAGCTTTGATACAAATTATAGATAAAGCTGTATCATCTGCCGGTCAGGTTACACTGCAAAGCATTTTAAGCTTCACTCACGACCAACCATCTACCACGATGGGAATCGGAGTTTCTGGCGACGAGGTCACCGTTGTCGAAAGAGATTGCCTATTTTCGCGTAGATAGGTGGTCAAGCCATGAACCCCCATGTTATGTAAAAATATTTCACGAAAGTCCTGGAACCGGAAAATAAAGAAGGGGGATCGCTACGGCGGTATTATTGCATTGTGGTGACTATATCTGTGAAAGTGACGCAAACAGAGTCAGCATCCACTTTTACACTTTGTATGTCAAGGTAATATAATTTAAATAACACTATACCTTGCATGGCAACGTGGCCGAGTGGTCTAAGGCGCTGGAATTAGGTTACTGCGGTTATGTAGTGAAGATATCCAGTCCTCCGGGGCGTGAGTTCGAACCTCACCGTTGTCAATGATAATTTTTCTCTTTAAAAGAATTTTCTTCGGATTTTTTTTGCTGTCTACTGCTTTGACTTTCAGTAACTGGAGGTTTGAATAGGGCAATATTATTATAGTCTTCTTAAGACTGATTTGTACACAGAGACAGGCTAAAGTTACACAAAATATTACCAAACCGAGGAAAGCCCAACATAAAATAATTATTCCCAGTCGCTGTCTCCTTCGTCTTCTGATTTCGGTTTCGTTGGTTTTTCATCACCAGCAACGCTAGCGCCAGCGGATGAAACGAGATCGAAGCTGTCTTCACTACTTTCTCGGCGACTCCTTGTACCTGTTGTAGCCAGTTCCGGTGTAGGGATCAAGAGGGTATCCTTCACCTTTTCGTCCACCTAGGATTGGGATATAAAAAAAAGGCAGAGTATAATTTGGGGGGACTTACAGCGCCAGATTGTTCTGATGGACTTTGCTTTGTTTCCGTAGTCGAAGCAACTTCTTCCTCTTCTTCGTCTTCCCAGCTGAAGTCTTCTTCGTTCTCAGTAGAACCTGAACAGGTTGTTAATGTAAGAACAAGACGAAGGTAGGAGATCGCATACTGCGTATCAAAGCCTTGCGCTTTTCTTCTTCCATGCGAATCTGGTGAGTACGGAAGAAAAACCGTAACCAGAAAGCGTCCTTGGGCATCTCCGAGGGAGCTGGGGAAGTACTTTCAATGACCCGCAGACCATAAATGAGAAGAGAGACACCTTACCCAATGTCGATTCCAATTGTTTGAGTGCAGTACCATCGACGCCTTGCAAAGTAGCGTCAATCTTCGCATTCCAAGCCGAGCCTTCGGTGCCTCCGTCCAAGGTATCCACTTCCTGTTGCCTCCAGGTTAGGTACTGGTCCTTTGTGCCCTCTTCTGCCTCTGGGTCATGCCTTATAATATCAGAATCGTGCTTTAATCGCCGTAATAGGGCTTCAGCTCGACTAGCAACCGCATTTTGTGACTCCAAGCCCTTAGAGGAGCTGCCTTCCCTTTCCTTCCCGGCAGCACTCGATTCACCGGGTTCGGAGGGCAACATCCACATATCTGCACCGTCCCACATAAGAGCAGTTCCACCTACCGCAGGCCCTGCCTGATCAGGAGGAATGACTTTAACCGCTTCTCGCAATGCCTCTCCCGCTTCTTTCACTGCTTCCCGTAGTAAAGCTTCACTCTTGTGTGCATACTCCTCGGCCTGTGAAAGAGTCACTCCCTGTACACGTTGGAACTCGGATAGAAGGTTAGAGCGTATTTGTTGGATGTCAATGTTTTCAGAAGCGTGTTTCAATGATTCGGGAATGTTATTTTGCACAGTCGCAACGACGTTAGGAGGGAGGACAGACTGAAGCCGAGAAAGCAGAGTAGTGCCCGATGATGTAGACGCTTCGCTTGTCGAGGCATCAGATGTAGAAGGCTCTTCGGAATATGTGCTTGGCCCTGCAGCTTCCGAAGTGTCTGCCTCTCTGTCAGTCGTTTCAGAGGTAGGTTCTGACGGCTCAGGTGCTGTAAGCTTTGATATTTCTTTCTGAGCCTGCACAACAACCTGGCTAAGGTCCTTTCTCGCAGCTTCGAGGGCAACTTGACTCTTGAATAGCATGAGCATAATACGTACTGTTTAGAGTAGAGTGACGCACCTGTTTCCTAAATCCACCCCAAAAGCGACCCAGTTGACCAATGACCTGATTCACTTCTTCATTGAGGGAAGGCTGCTCAGGTTGATTAGCTGGATTGGGTGTTGTTGACCGGGTTATATCGTAGGGATCCAGGAAGTTCATGATGGAGTTAGGAGATCCTTGAACACAGACGACGGAATTGATTGATATGGAAGCGATCAATAATGAACCACTCGATCAAATTGATTCGCAAACATAACTCAACATCGACCCTCGGTATAGACCAAAGATTGAGTCAAGAACATTTGGTATCTTCATTACTATAGTACAAAACAAGGACCTCATTCGTTTAAGAATCTATCTAGCATCCCTTAGGCACGGGCGACAACCGCGACTCCTTGTGCTTTTACAGCGTCATGGATACCCAAAGGGGCTTCAGTCGTCTTCATGGCACCTAAGGTAGAGTATCCCAACTGCGCCTTGTGCAATTTGCATTCCGTGACAAAGTCGGTGAACATCTGAACATGCATGTCATATAAGTTGATCAATAAAAAGAAAAAAAAAACAAACCTCAATCGTGTCTAAAGGTCCACCAGCACTCTCGGGATGGAATTGGACACCCCAAACCTTTTTGCCAGATTCCGCAGTTGACTTTATACCTTCTACGGAAGAGTCGTTACAGTTGATGAAAAAGGGTTCCCAGCCCTGTGGGAAAGGATCCTGCAACTTCAAAGCATATTGGTGGTTTTGGCTAATTGTAGAACGTTAGTACCCTTCCTGAGCCAAAAAGGTAGTAACCTACCTCGTGACATAGACCCTTCCTGCCTTGATAGAACCTGCCGAAGCAAGAGCCAAGACGGGTTGATTGTGACCTCGATTTCCAAAGGTCATTCGATAGGCATCGAGCCCAGCAGCCATACCGATGATCTGATGCCCCATGCAAATACCGAAGATAGGTTTGTTCCACTCAGCGAGAGTGCGACGTAATTTGAGAGCGGCTTCCATGCAATGAGTCGGGTCACCTGGTCCATTAGTTAGGAAAAGACCATCGTATTGGTCCCTAACCGCATTGAAATCGTAGTTCCATGGGAAGACGGTGACTGCGGCGTCCCTGCGGACGAGTGAACGAAGAATGTTTGCCTTGGCACCGAAGTCAAGAACCGCAATTTTGACGCTGCCTTGGGGGTTAAGCTCGTAAGGGATCTTAGTAGACACTTGATCAACTAGGTTATCCTGGGAAGGGTCCCAGTATTCCGAAGCATCCGGAGCAGGGAGTGCGGCATCCAATCCAATGGCTACGCGACCCAGAGTGGTACCCTGATCACGCAGAAGCGTGGTGATAGCTCGAGTATCGACACCGGTGATACCAGGTACATTGTTGCGTTTACACCAGTCGGCGAGTGATTCGACGGCCTTGTAGTGAGAGTATTTCTCTGCAACGTCGCCGACGATGATGGCAGCAGTCTGAATGTTCTGCGACTCCAGAACGACACCAACGTCCTGAGAGTTATAGGGTGCCGTGTTTGATGGGACGCCATAATTTCCGATCATAGGCGTCGTAAAAACGAGGATCTGGCCACGATAGGATGGGTCAGTCATAGACTCTGTGTCTGTTCAGGATGAACATGAGTACAAAATGAAGACAAAAATAAGCGTGATAACATACAAGACGTAATGGATGTGGAGAAGACGGTCTCGCCAAAAATACTTCTGGGAGCTCCGAAAGACTTCCCATGGAAGGATTGGCCAGACACAAGATGAAGTGCAGCAGGAACTGAGGTTGCTGAGCCTGCGTGTGTAGCGAGCCCTCGAGATAGGCGAGGGGCAAGAATAATAGAGCGAGAAAACATTTTTCTACTGGGCTGAGTCTACAGAGAGAGGAGAGAAAATACGAGGTCACTGAGGTAACTGCAAAAAGGTCATGAAACGATCTGAACAGTAGGGGCTACGACATACTCGTCTCGGGTGTTCTGCGTGAAGATCATGAACAAGGAGGAAAGCTCCTAGTTGAAAGGCAGGCTTGAGAAGGGCTTTAACTAAGAAGAGAGTGGCAAAAAATAACTCCGAGTAGAAGGCTTTTTTTTTCCAACTCCGCCAACTGACATAAGCGATGAGAGCAGCGAACGCCGACGATGACTCAATTTCACTTGGTAAACGGCCGATAGAAGCGAACAATTGAATGCAGCGAGCAGCTGATAGGATTCCTATGTAGCATATTGATGTAGCACGTAAATATGTACGTTAAATGCAAGCGAGATGAGCAAGAGAACAGGGTGTCAAGGAAAATGCTATGATATACTACAAAATGTTTTATGGATACAGTTGAAACCCAACAAGAAAGCTAATTTGACAAATAATAACAAGCTCAGCATTCAGTAAAGGTCCAAAATTCAAGAAAACCGTAATGTTATTTTTTCTTTGCAAAGGAGGCACCCGCTCGGCGAGAGGCAGGAATGTGAGAGGCAGCAGCTTTCTTCTCCGCTTCAGAATCGCTTGATTCGCTCCCGCTATCCGACTCCTCGGAATCTTGTCCACTAGGCCCGTACAGATTTTCAATTGGCTCCTTGGGGGTATTTGGGAACTGCTGAGAGAGCCTCGACTTAAAAAGAGTAGGTTGACTGGCGATTTCACTCAAACCACGGAACATAGAACTTTTTCTTCCAGACGCCGCAGGTCTTCCTATGGCTGCAGCGACTTCTTCTTCGTCGTCCGATTCATTGGGTGATACAGCTGCTTGTTTGTGAGGAAGGAGGTCCGGATACTGGGAGTAAGGAAAGGATTGTTGGCTGTCAGTTGGCACAAACAATGGTTCTGGCAGTGGTTCTGCAGCAGCAACTGCCGCCTGACCTTTTTGATTACGGCCACTAGTTGTCACAATCTGCGGGCTAGGAAGCAGTTCATCAACCATCGCAGGGGCCTCAGTATCAGTTTGCGAAGGGCCACTATCCTGAAGGACAGCCCAGGAGGCCACTGTGCCTTGCGACTCTGGTAGAGTCATATTGCTTGCCTGGCTGGGCTGTGGGTCAGGATCGGCCACGGCGACAACAATTCTTGATCTTGTCCTTGTGTTGCTGACGCCATTTGAAGCAACTGCCTTACTTTGATGTTTAGTCGATGACATTTTCATTACAGTTTTAGCTGGCGTTTTGGAAGCCTTAGCGGGTGTTTTAGCTGGTGTGTTGGTAGCAGCAGCTTTCGCTGCCGCAGCAGACCTTGTGATCCTTGTGTTACTCTCTGGTGCCTTTTCCGCATCACGGCTTTCTTCCTGACTCTCCTGAGCTGCTTGCCTACGGCTTTTCGGAGCAGGTGCAGGGCGAATCACGCGAACCGAAGGATTGGGCGGAATAGGCAGCTCGGAAATCTTCACCAGGCCCC